ATATATAGTGAGCGAGAAGATATGCTAGTTAGGTTAATAGGTCTATAACTACATATGAGCCCAATGGTTCAGATTCAATCTGGGCCGATCTAATGGACACGATCTCATTTCATATTTGAATTTTAATCTTTTTTCTACAAATCCAAATCATGTTAAATTTTAAGGGTATATTCATCTCATCAAGGTGAACCTAATAAAAATATTAAAAAAATAATTTATAAGATATAAATTGACCTAAATATCTTCGAAAAGTTTCAAAGGTATTTTGATCAATTTATTTCTCACGAAATATGCTTTTGATATTTTTATTGGATTATCCTATTTTTAAAGAACACACATTCAAAATTTAAAGTAATTTGGATTTATAGAAAAAATTTAGAATTTACATATGAAATGCAATCATGATCGTTGGATCGGCTCAACTTCAATCTGAGCCATTGAACTCATATGTAGTTGTAGGTCTACTGGGCTATACTTAAATTTCCATATATATATATATATATATATTTGTGCATGTATTATTTAGGGTTGGTAATGCAATGGCGAGAGCAGCCTGGTTCGACCTGGCCCTAAAAAATTAGAGCTTGGTCCACATTATGTTGCCAGAGGGTCGTGGTAGGGTTAATGCCAGCTTGGTTAGGCTTAGCCTAGACTCTTTTTTTTTCTTTTTTCTTTTTTCATTTGGTTTTGGCCCGGCCCAGCCCAGCCCTCACAAGTCTAGGGCCAGCCGTGGACCTGCCCTTGTCCCAGGGCCAGTGCCGCCCTAGGGTGGGCCACGTATGGCGGGGCCCATTTCCATCCTTAGTATCCTGCAATATCGTGTCCATAGGGTATGACACCAGACACCTGAAATGTTCAATGGAGAGTGAAAGAAATGTTGGTCTCTTTCCATCATGCTTTAATGGAGAGAGAGATTATTTGTCAGTGTAGTCTCATCTATCTTTCTTGCCTAAGCTTTATCTCTTTCAGGCTGTGGATACATGATTGTGAAGGATACTTTCAAAGCACCTATTACAAAGTAAAATAAAGCTCTTTAGAGAGAGAGAGAGAGAGAGAGTATGAATACTGCAAACCATTCATAATAAATCTAGAGAGAGAGCAGTCGAACATAAAATCATCTTGAGTGGTTACTTAAAGCCCATAATAAGTCCATGAAGTGGGCGAATTTCCTTCACCAAATACAGAACAAGACAAAGGATGTGAAGCTCTTAGTAGCTCCACATCTTCCCAACTCAACTTCACTACGAACAACTGTTCAAGTCGTCTTGGACAGTGCTAAGAAGAAAATTCAGCTACTTCACAGCCTTATTTGAGCGACGCGTAAAAAATACTGAATCCATCTATTTGATCTTAATCTGCATCATCACTCAACCCTAAACCCTAATTACAAACCCTAAACCCTAATTACAAAGATCATAGAGTTTCAAGCTTCTTGCTTCACTCCTTCAGCTACAATCTCTCTCTTATTTCTCAGGCTACTGAACCGAGCAAATGCTACACTAATATATCCCTACTAACGCCATACAGGTGGAAAATGACCGTAATACCCCCTTCCTTCATAGAGCTCGCCACACCTCGATCTTTTAAGAAATGACCGAAACACCCGGCTTCCTTCAAACGACCCGCATTTGTAGTATCCAAATACATTTATTTTTCCATGGGAAAGTGAAAGGGAGGCCTTGAAAGGAGACACAAACCCCTAAAAGTGACCTAAAAAGTAACAAGGTTTCATTTTTACCCTCATGACCTTTCGGTTCTCCTTTGTAAGAGGTTTGGGACCCTTTCAAAACCATTTTCCACCCTTCCAAGTGACCGAACACAAAAAAAAAAAAATCTAGTTTTTTGAAATTTCAAATAAGGGGAGAAAAATGAAATCCTATTAAAAATGAGTTTAGTTTTTACATCAATTTTTTTTTAGTAAAAACACCAATTTTTACAATACAAACCGTCGATCTAGGTCTGCATTGTGTTGATGGGTGTCGCCACTAGAAAAACAGGTGTAAGAACTAGACCCATTAGAAGACGGAGGTCGGGTGTTTCAGTAATTTCCAAAACAAATAGGGGGCAACTCGGTCAGACACAAAAAAAAATAAAAACCGAAAGGCATTTCGGTCATTTTCCCCGCTGGAGCTATTCAGCACCAGCAAATACAATGGAGGAAACCACTTCCTCCTCCTCCTCCTCCTCTTCCCCCTTCTGAGAAGACATGATCCCAGACAAATGTGTGGCCCTGTGCCCCTTCCCAAAGGCCCTAACATGGTCCTTGAGAGACCTCTTATGCTTAAAATCCGAACCGCAAACGCAGAACCAGAGGCGGCCGCAGTTCTTCTCATGTGTGCGCCAGTCGCCGCGGACTGCAAATGGTTTGGAACACTTTCGGCATGCATGGGGCTTCTTGGCGGCGTGTTTGCGGCGGAAGTGAGTTTGGAGAGTGCGGAAGTCTTTGAGGGGGCGGGCACGGGGGTGGGAGATGTTATTCTTGCAATTGGGGAAGCAGCAGAAGCAGGGGAGCCGAAGGGTGGCCGCGGATGGCTGGGAGCCACGCAGGGAGTCTGGTCCCTTGCGGTACTGGGAGCCGTGGCCCCACATGTGCATCTGTGGATGTTGGCATTTGGGTTCGCATGGATTAGTAGTTAGTGGTGCTGGTGATGGTGGAGAGAGAGATGAAAACTTCATGATTTTGCAAATAGGGTGTCCGATTATGAGGCACCATGATTTGGCATATAGGGACTCAAATTATGAAGCCCAAGCTTGAGAGAGAGAAGAGAGAAGCAATCAAGTAAAGAACCTCAACATGTTTAAATTATGTGTGCGTGTATGTGAGTTCATGCATGTGAGTCTGTGTGTGTTAGAGAGAGAGAAGCCATTACTTAGCACTAAGGGACCATGTTAAACAAGCCAAGATTGAGAGAGAGAGAGAGAGAGAGAGAGAGAGAGAGAGCTTGGAAGCTCTCATGCCTAGAAAAGATAAGAGTTGGATGAGCTACCACCATCCAGGCATGTTAGGGCATTACTTACCTACCCATATATGATTATTTTGGGGTAGGGATTTCTTTTGTAGTGGAATGGCCATGGAAATTACTCAAGTAGCTAGAGATCATTTCCTTTAGCATTGATTGACATAAAGAAATGTTAAGCAATCATCTATCCCAATCCAAATTTCTCGAGAACAAACCCTAATGCATTCTTCATTTCTTACCCTCTCCATGATGCAAGTTGCTAATCTCCAACATTTGCAATTTCAATTGATAGTTTGGGCTCTCTCTCTCTAACAGAAATTGAGCAATTAAATGAAAGATCAATTCATTGGATCCTTCCTTTCTTCAAATGGATTGAACAAGAATAGAATTAGATCCATTCCCAAAACTGACTTTCTGGATATTTCTCAATGCCCGATTACGGTTTAAAAATATCCAACTGTTCAGTATGGTGATTTTGTTCAATGTATTTGGACACGAGTGTTGGATACATGGGTTAAGTTCTCTATTTCGAGTGGTAGGTGAATCATGGTGACCCTTTCCACTGGTGATCTGAGCTTTTCAAATCTTTCATGAAATCAAAATATTTACAATCTCTCAATATTTTCTTTAAAATAGGGCCCATGATGCAATATCGTAAACACCATTGTCAAAATTTGAGAATTTGGATTCCTCTGAGATTAAGTTATCATGTGAAGGGCATATTGTTTTTAACACAACATTACACAGAAAAAAAAAAACAAGATCAAGATATAAGTAAAAATAAAAGAGAAGGAAATTATTAGGAGATGGAAGTCTAGTAGTTCTCTTTCATGTTTTTGGGTTCTCATCATGTGAAGAATTGGAAGAAAAAAATAATGAATGTGAAATGAACAATAATTTAAAATAATTGAATGACTTTAACCAGTATTTGGTGGTCTTCCATAGAGAAAAACTTGAATTACTTATGGTTTCAAGTCGAATTTGGGACTTGGAGTTTGAGTTTACATTTCAGTAATTCTTCACTGGATAGGGGATGTAAAAGAGGCCCGTCTTAACCTTAATATGGGATGTAAAAGAGGCCTATCTCAACATTAAGGTTAGGGTTTTGATCTTCCATATGAGAGAAAACACATGCCTGAGAATAGGCTGGGGTCGTGGTGGTAGTACTATCTAAGCCCAGTTAAAGGTCAGACCGCCATTCTCACTAATACTTTCATAAAAATTTACCCTTTCCGAAAATGTGTAGGGCCTGTGATCCCCACTGATCTACCAAAAAAACAAAAAACACAAGTATTTGGTAAGGATTCTAGGGTTTCTAGGGTTTGCAAGAAAAGCCTGGTTTTCTCTTGTTTATGGACCTAAGCTCTTCTAGATTTTTGGATTTTGCACCACTTTAGAAATCGTTAAACTATTAAAATGGACTATGAAAATGGTAATCATTGCACTTCCCTATGTCACAATTGCATGTTAAGAGTCTGTTTTGTGTGGGGGGAGAGAGAAAGAGAGAGACCATGAGAGAGAGAGAGTGTGTCAAACCTGCATATTGTTGTATCTATTGAAAGTCTTGTTGCAAACTGAGCAAGAGAACTGAGTAGGCCCAATAAGGATCTGTGCTGGTGTGGGGATCCAAAACTTTCCTTCTGAGATCAACACTTCTCTCTCTTCCCTGTCAACTCCCTTTTTTTCCTTAGAAAATTCATCCTTCAAATCTGTAAGAGAACTACTAGATGGTCCAGAATTTGGAAGACCAATTTGTAAAGCCACAGTCACCTTATCTCTCTCTTCCTTCCCAAAGTCAAATCTCTCCCTCTCTAAAACCGCATCAACCACCTCTTCTTTCACAGACCTGCTTTCGGGAAATTCACTGATCAATGGCAAACACTTCATCTTCTTCTCTTGCTGGTACTGGTAAGAGAGAGGAATTTGCAGGCAGTGAAAATCATATGAAGAAGAAGATGACGAAGAATGGACGGTTGAGATGGCCTGAGACTCCACCCCAGAGGGTTTGAGCCATTCAGTGAAGGTGGGCACTTGGTAGCATAGGCCAAACCCATCAGCCTGATTCTTCTTCATCCCCATTTGAAACAACCAAACTCCAAAAACAAATGATAATCAGCAGATATTATGAAGAACTTTCTCTCTCCTAAAAGAAGATCATGGTTTTGGAAGCAATATTACTGGGTTGATCTCTTTAGGGGCTTTAGTCAATCAAAAGATATGTTGAGAGAGAAGGAAAGCAAGGAGAAAGAGAGAGAGACGCAGGAGCAAGCCAGAGAAAGACAGGGGGGGGGGGAGAGAGACGCAGAAGCCAGCCACATAGAGACTGCTCACGGCAATATGATTTATGGAAACTTGTTTCATGCGGGCTCCACTGCATTTCTACATATGCCGTCAAGTAGGCTTTCCGTTTAAAAACTATCAAAATATTTTTTTTATTAGAATTGTTATTCCAACTTTTTAAAATTTATTAACTTTTTTTTTTATATTCATAATCTCCATATTAAAAAGTACATATTTTTTAAAAATAAATCAATAAATCCATCTCAATGAATTTATTAAGAGGCCTGCATTCTACATTTGCAGGCTTGACCGCATAAAAACCAGTATGATTTATTATTATTGATTGGACTCATTTAGAGAGAAATGTTGATTGGACTACTTTAGAGAGAGAAAGATGTTTATTGGACTATTTTAGAGAGAGAAAGAGAGAAGAACGCCTTTTGTAAAGGGCAGAGAATGGAAGAAGGGGGCAAATAGGGTCAACTTTTTGTGTAATATTCCAAACATTCCGCTATATGACGCGAGGCGTCGTTGCGTTAGACGACGGGCTTCGGTTTGCTGATGAAAGTTGTTATTTTATGAGATTACGATATTACCCCCTACCTAAGTGTTTAATAACATAAGAACCCCTTGCCCCTTCAGCTTTTGTAAATTTACCCAGGGAAAAACTGGAATCTGACGAAGTTTAACCCAAAGTCAATCAATGACTTGATTGGTAATTCAATTTAACCCTAACCCCATTGATTATTTGGTCTATTTTGGTAGGTCCAGGGTATATTAAGAATAAAAGGTCAATACACCAAGTATTGGACTTAGTTTTCTCTTATTTGAGACAACATAGAAGGAAAAACTTTTATAGCGAAAGTTACAAAAATCTCCCTTAACTCAACTTTCTTTATAACCTCTCCCAACTAATTTTTTTATCTTAACTTTTACTTTAAAATTAATTTTTATAACAAAGACCCCTCAAATAAAAAAATCATAGTTTGGAAGATGAAAATATTCTTGCCCATACATAAAGGCACCACATTCCCATAGACGCTCAATCACCAAAGACAAAGCAACACATATTACTAACGAACTAGAACCCATACCATGTTAACTGTCGGACCGTAACAACAATATGTTGGACCTCATGCAATTTATGCCTAATGGAGCCATTGTAGCCCTATACCGCTTTAGGAATTGCCAGACCATAGGCCTTGTAAAAAACATTGCTAGATCGTATGGAACATAATGCCAGACCATATAGCAAATATGTAGAACCATATGGCCCATGTTGCCAAACTGCATTTACAAGTGTCGGACCAGGCATTCAACGACCAAGGAGAGGGCATTTTGGTCCAAAGAACTATGCTTCTTTATTTGGGAGGTATTTCCTAAAAAAGTTTGTTTTAAGGTAAAAGCTGCGATAAAAAATTCGTTGAGGGGAAGTTGTCTAGAAAGTCCAATTTCCGGAGGGGGTATAAGTAATTTTCCCAACTTTATATAAGGTTTCAATGTTATGTTATAAAAGTAAGGTTCACCTCAAAATCTTATAGAAGAGAGTATTCTAGTATGGAGAACCCTCCATTTAATCATCTCGACATCAAGATATATAGACATCAAGAAAAAAAAGAAATTTAAGTAAAAAAAATAGTGTGTCTTGTAACAAGTTATTTGAACCGTCTATTTTCAAAATTTTCAAGTGTTTAAGAAGGTGACTTATAAAAACCTCACCCAACAAAGAAAGAAGAGAAAAAATCATTTCCAACCTAGATAAAAAGCGATGGGGACTGAACTGGTTCTAGATCCTGGTCACGTTCCCCTTTAAAACTTCTCTTTATATATTATTATTTTTTAAGCTTATTTAATATTTTTTTAAATCTCTTTAATTTTATTTTATTTTATTTTATGTATTTTTTTATTTTTAATTTTTTTGGATTATCAATTTGTACTTATCCATAGCTTATTCGAATTGTTGATCCAACGATGTGACATAAATATATGGGCAATCAATCCACTACATCAATCCAAAGTTTTAAAACAATGGGAAAAAACAACTTGTAGCAATATTATCATATTTCCTTCTTTTTTTTTTCTTTTTTGTTTCTCGCACCAAGAGAAGGAAGCACTAGAGTGGATCGAGAGATTGGGAGAAGTCTTAGTTTAAAACTAAAGAAGAAAGAAAGCAGGTATAAATCGGCAGTTTTGTAGAAACTTTTACTAACGTATCCCCTATATATTTTAAAATTCACAAAAAGGATTTCTCAATTTAATTTTATCGAATTGTATACAATGAGACTATTTACCTTTAGTATAGAGAAGTCACAATTACTTATGACTAGCTTATGTGAAATTTGATAGCTTGGGTGTGTCACAAAGTTGAAATTACTTATAAGGATCTTATGTGAGACTATTTACATGGCTACGATTGTTCATACCACAATGTCATGTCAACCATTGTTTTATTTTTCTTTTCTTTTCTACAAAACATTTTTTGATGAAATTTTGGGCATCCCATCAAAAAATTAAGACGAACTTTGAAAAAATATTTTATGCAAAAATAGATAATCAAAATTTCACAGTTAAGTGCTAGCTTGTAACATTGTGACTCAAACGGTCTCAACCACCTATTCAAATGGGATGGCTGGACCCGGGATCACACACCATATATGTGGGTGGGGTCACGTAGAAAGCCCTCCCGCATAGAATTCCCTCGAGTATTTGGCGTTTTCAATGTACAGAAAGACACACGTAATATCGCAACACATGCATGTGTCCACCAACGAAATGTGTATCGATACGTCTCGCTCTTTTTATCTTGGACAGGATGTTTTACCAAATTTAATAATGCATTAATTCAGTTGTTTTCTTGTCAGTCCCCAGAAAATGAAGGATGGGGCAAATGAGAATATTATACTAATGAAAACAACCTACCAAAAAACTGTATTTACTCTTTGCAACAAAATACTGAAGACGATGATGTATCATTGATTGATGTACATTCTTGAATTCTCCAGGCTTGACTAATAACTTTTTTATTTTATTTTTCTTGAGAGGAGAAAGCTCTTTACTTAAAAAATTTGCAGAAACAGAGAAAAAAAAAGGGAATGTGAAAAGGAAAACAAGTTTCAGCGAGGAACATGAGACCTTTTAGAATGACCAATTATTTGACTACTTAAACCGACAAGAGATCGTGAAGGGGATTGTCAGGCTCTCTCTTTCTCTCTTTCTCTCTCTTTCATTTCTCACACTTTATTTGGTAACTGAACTTCCCACTCCTTTCATACTATATTCAATTTTTGAGGCTCATATCCGTTCAAATTTTTTCACACTTTTTCTTTGGGTGGGAAAGTTGGCTTTGGAGGTCAAGGCTGAAGACACAGTCTCTCTCTCTCTCTCTCTGTGAAAATGCTTTCACATTCTTTCTTATAGATTTATCGGAACACAAAAGAGATAAATCCAAAACTGAAAAGGAGGGGTAGAGGCAAGTATGAATAAGGAGAGAGTTAGTAGGGGCTTTCTACATTGTCCCCTGTATTTTGTCTCCCATAAGACAAAGCTTGCTTACCACCCCTAGGTGCTTGACGCTCGTCATATAGAGCTCAACAACAAACATGTGTTGCAGTTTGTATAGAGCCGACGCTCTAAACAATCGAAAGTAAAACATATTTTCAAATAGTGTCGAGAAATGTGGTTTTCATACTGAAAATATTTGTGATGGTCTTAAAATATATTTTCATTTTTTATTATAAAATTTAAAAATTCAAAAAAACTGTAGATCAAGCAGGTCTATGAAAACTTGAAAATCTTGAAAATTGACAATCTAAAAATGTGTTACAAGATGCACTATTTCTAATATTTAAAATCTATTTTTTTCTCATGTCCATGCAGCTTAATGTCAAGATGATCAATTTTAAGATATTTGGACATCAAAACTACCTCTTTTAGTGAAATTTTTTAAAGTGGGCTCTAATTTGATTGTTTAGAGCTTCCGCTCTATGTAAACCTTTTCCTTACCGTAAAGACCATTTTTTTGAAAGGGGGCACAATTTATTTTGAGAGAGAGAAAGAGAGAGAGAAAAAACTTTGAGGTAGTTATGAAATTAAAAACATTGTCGAAAAAGACGACTCAGTCCCAGAACCTGGGCTCAGGCTAGGCTGAGTAACTAAGCCTAGGACTGATTAGCTCAGCCCGAGTTAGACACATTATGTCCTGGCAAGGCTAAAAAGTATTAAAAAATAAAAAATTTAAAAATATGAAAACTATGCTTAAAATTAAATTAAATAAAAAGCATCTAAATGAGGTTAAATGAAGTAAAAAAAAAAGTGGATTTTAAAATCAATTTGTAACTGGGGGTAGTTTAGAAATAATCTAAAAAGAGGGGAAAATATAAAAACGAGTATTCACAGCCAAAACATTTATCAATAATATATATATATATATATATATATATATATATATTATGTTTTTTAAAAAAATAAATCCTGAGCTTAATTACAAGATACTCGGGCTCGTCCAATGATGAGCCTGAGTTACTCGAGCGAGTCCGTGTTGGTTTGCCTGAGTAGTCAAACACTAATTAAAATTAAAACTAAAGAGAGCCATGGTAAGAGCAGAGATAAGTGGAGAATCTCAGCAAATCAATTGAAAAAAATCAACTTTTTTCTTTTGAAAGGGTGTATATCTCCTTTGTTACATTGTTGTTGAATCTTTTCTCAGCTTAACTTTTGGTGTAAATTTTTTAACCTAGTGTTTGATTTGCACGTTAGTCCAAGATGATTTCACTTTTGTGATTTTCCCCTCTCGTCTCTCTCTTCTTTTCGACGTGGAATTCCACTTTCTAGAATCTCCATGAGAGAAAATGCTCACGGGGGGCACCTTTTGTCAAACATTGAAAGCTCCAATATCCATTAAAAGTCGTATGGGTAGACAAATTACTGCATTCTTTTCTTTTACAGTGGGCTTACTCTGGGAAACTTTATATGTTAGTGAGCTTTTTGTTCAAGCCCCTCATCATGGACAATTATTCTTTCTCCACAACCTGCACAAGAT